GCCACTAGCTAGTTTTAGCTATGGAGTTTGAGTTGTAGCCTCAAAGGCAGCATCTGTCAGCCGGTTACACTGCTAGCTTTTAGCTAACTAATGTCAGAAAGATGCTCAACTCGTTTCGTTAAAGCATAACTCTCATGATAAAATGCCAGTGTGCATTAACTAAGTAGCTAGCTAAAACTCGCTTAGCTAACGGGAAGTTCCTTATGGTATCTACCGGACACATCGCTAGTAACTTAGCACAAAGCCACCGCCATCTCACAGCGGCGTACGCCATGTTTAGAATCGGACGCACACAATCCTAAAGAAAACCCCATAACTCTAGATGAGTAATACATGTTGAAACTATTCTTGGCTTACCGTTATCACAGCGATACAGGCTCTCCATTTTATATCGGAAAATGTTCAATAAGAGGAAGAAATGAACTCGGGGTTGTTGTGAGTTAACGTCCGCCCGACCCTGCGGCGCGAGCTGGTGGGGAAGAAGGGCGGCTCGATAATCGGTGTGGTGCAGAGTGCGCATGCGTAGTAAACGAAAACAAACCCTGGTTTTATTCAGTAACGGCGGTTAATTACGGGTCTGTGTTTACTCATATGGCCTGTTGAGACATTCATTATGTTAATTTCAGTAAAAAAAACACAAAGTGAAATCATTTGAATAACTTTAGAGTTGGCTGCAAAGGAGACATCTTCTTCTTCTTCGCCATGGGAATGTCAGGCTTACATAAAACTGCACTGCTACCTAGAGGCCATTTAAGGAATTGAGCCCTAAGATTGATTTTAAAACCATAGTCTTCTGGAAATAACATAATTAGATTCTTCTTTTTGTGTTGAACTAAACGGTTTACTTAAGCGATTTCATTATTAAATCACTTTGCAATATATGTCATGTATTCTGATGTATTGTTTGAGTTATTGTAGATTCAGAATAAGTATATCCACTTATTTTCATGTGAAGTTATGGCACTGAGGATATAATTGCCCTTTTAGTCCTCTCATAGATTTGGAAACTGTTTGTTTCAGCTCTAATATTATATCTGTCAAATTATGCACAAGTAAATCTACCATGTAGCACCATTGTATTAGCTATTCAGGTTTTCTTGATGCAATAAGTGCCTTCACATCCCCAATGGTGTTGTTACAACCTATATTCACATTCACCTTACCGACTACTACCAGATAAAACATTGCCCAAAATACTTATGCTACTAATAGGTAAAAAAAAACTATTATTATTAAAATTGCTAAGGTGGTATAATACTTTCATGGATGAATGGCCAGTTCCTTTTTGTTGCAGTGTATTCCTGTGGAGACAGAACAAAACAGGAATCCCCTGTAAAAGGGGATCATAGCCAAATTCTCCTCAAGACTTTTTATGACCTTGTTTTTCTTCATCAGTCTCACTGTGACAGTCTGCTGGCTCTGTGAGGGCGCTGTCACGACTTTAAGTACTTTGAGTCATTTGCTCGCTGGAAGTAAAAGGATCGATAAAACACCCTGCTGCTGGGCTGAAGCCAGATATGTCACATTTTCATTCAGGGGATGCTGCAGTATCCTTGGAAAAGAATACAATTATTCCAAGGAAATGTTGCTTTACTTGCGTTCGTCTGTTATATCTGTGTTGCTGTAAATTGTCCCTAAATTGTGTCCACATTCTAAGTAAGCTTTATTATAAATAAAGCCAAAAAAAAGACTTTGATACAGTTTAAACTCTGGTCATTTATTAGCTGTCCACAAAAGCATGTCATGGAACAACAGAAACTGCAGCATGAGTGTAACATTCCTCTGTGTTGTTATACTCTACCACATCCCTGCTTCTCACACCATGTATCATTTATATTTCATATATATATTTTGTACAATATACATGTTCTCATCAAAGGAAAAAAGAATAGCAAAAAAGTTCAACCCCCGTCCCCCTTGTTGATTTGAAATTTGGTGAATATCCCATGCATGTTTCCACTGCGTCTAGGAGAAGTGTTGTTTATTACCAGGAACAAATACGCAGGCAAATAAATGCTCAGACAAACTAAGAGGAGAGTGTTGTTTGACAAAGCTGGTGTACAAAGCACATTCTCAACAACATTAAACAAGAACAGCCATGCAAACCCACATTTAACGGCTTTGACCCAGTTTCTAATCAAATCGCAGCACAGGGGCAAGCTAACGTTAGCCTTTTTAATAGCATCACATTAAGACTAAATAAAAAAAGATTCTGGCTTATTCTCTTATTCTAAAGCCGTATTCAGCTGCTGTTTATCACAATAAGACTAGCTCACTGTTATAATGCTTCTGAACGTGTGAGAGTAACACTTGCACATGAAGTGCTTGACATCATTATGAACCTTTTTATCTCAGTGGAGACAAAATGGTTTGCATCTTTAAGTTACATTTACCCTTTAAATAACATGTTTCACTTAAAACGTGGGAATGTTTGATGATTCGGTATAAAGCTTAATGTTATTTATTTCAGCTTCGGTGTTAAATCAACAAACTGGCACCCTATACTGTAAGTTATACAATTTATTTTAAAATGAGGAAATACATTTAAAAATTAAATAAATGGGATGTCACAGAAATATGAAGACAACTATTATATTCAGGGTTTTTCAGTCACTCATTTGTTTTTGTTATGTGTCGTTCAATTCACATTTATACTGTAGCTCAATATCCTGTGGCATATTATTCACCATACTACTCAGAGTAGTACAGTTTCACATAAATATTGCTTGATTTCAAAGCATCTTTTTATATAATCTTTTATAACTTTTGTAAAACAAAATAGCTGTGGAATGTAAAATAAAATATAGAGTGCTATGTAAGTAGGTAAGAAAATAAAGCCGTAGATTAATATCTATATTTCCCTTTCTGTAACTATTTACAGAACTTTAAACCAACTCTTATATGCTTATATGTTTCTGTTAAAATGTGGTTTGGCCTAACACATATATAATTTATCCATTTTGAGTGTGCTACAATGATTTAAGATCTGTCCAAAGGTATAGTCGGATTCCTGTAGGAACAACATCACAAACTATGAGGGCACAGGAGACACCGGAAACAAAAGGATGTTTCATTTTTTTGGTATGCTGCTGGACTACAGATATTGCACATTTTTGTAAATATTAAACTTCTGTTGCATTGTTACATTCAATCAAATACTGTAGGTTCAAGGATCCCACCTAAATACAGATGGATGGTATCTTAGTGACGTGGCTCAATGTAGAATAAAAACAACAAAGGCTGCTGCTGAAAAGAAATGTGGCCAGTTTAACATTTTGGTCCTTTCAGATTTGATTAGTATTATATAATCCACATGTGGTTGATAGGTGTGTAGAAAGAATGATGTGGAAAAATAATGTTGAATTTCTGCACTGAGTTTATCAAAGACACAATATTTTGGTAGCAGATTCACAATATGAAACAACACATCTTTATACGAAAGCTGCTGGCTCTGACTTCTAAATAAAAAGGAATCAAAGGGTCACACCTGAGACAGATAACAAAACGCCTCGAACCATTGTCACATTCATCATTTATATAGACATCTGAATGTGACAATCATTATTTGTTAAAACAGGTAGAATACAAATGAAACCTGGGTATGAAACTTGAACTGGTACATTTCAGATCTCTATTTGGACATTTATTGATTGTCTCATTTTAAGCATTGAATTAATTATTGCTGTGTTAATAGTCTCAGGTGTTTGACATTTTTTATTTTTGGTTTGAATATAAAGATGTGTTGTGTTAAATTGTGAATTTGATGACAAATAAAGGTCAATGGTTTAAGAAATATAGAGTGTTTCCAGAACATTTGAGGTACAATTTGAAAGGGTGCGTTAAAGCAAATGGAAGCGATGCACTACACGTATGAGTATGTTATTGAGGTAAAGCCGTGACTTTAAAATTCATCTGAGTGACCTACCCTGATCTTATGGAATTCATCAGAAAAAACTAAGTAATTGATGGTCTTTTTGACTGGTCTTTTTCCGGAACAATCCACACGCTGCTCAGCCTACGCATCTACACGGAAAGCACACCTAAAGCGAAACAAAGGATTCAAACAAACAAGATTAAACATGCAACGTTTGCATAAACAGACACATACAAACTGTTCAGGAGAACATTCAGTGAGACTGGTGTCATCAGCCAAACGGGTGTGGGAGTATACTGTACATCAGTTTACAAAAAAGAACGACCAGCACGATGACTTTAAGGACGTATTTACACTTTGCTTTAAATAAAGTCCCTGCCAATCCAAATCCATCTCAGCTCAGTCAGTTTTGCAGTGGGTAGAAAGTTAATAAGCAGCGTTTCCCCTTCTCCCCTCTGCGAAAGTAGTCCGTGAAGAATGCTCTGCATAAAAAGCAATATCAGGGCAGCTCAGTTGAGGAGGTGTCATGCAAAGAACAATGTTCGTGGAGTTATCACAAGTTAATTTCCCAGTTGGACATCCGTGTTTCAAGCATACGTCAGCATATATTCCACTGAGTGGTGAAACTTCAGGTGTGGAAGTTCCTGTGATCAGTTTGGCCTCTGCACACAGTAGATATAACACAGTGAAACTTATCCAACATAGAAGTGACAGAAATGTAAATAAGTCCACCTAAAGTCTGTCTGCTGGCATTGCTACGAGTCACTTTTATTGGTTGTATAGTAGGAATATATTTTGGCATGTGTCAAACTATACTGCGATGGCATCCACTTCCATAAGATGATGTTTGTAAACCTAAAGTCTCATATTAGAGATGATGAGAAAGCTGCTTTTATTGAGTGAAAATTCTACTTCTAGAAACTTTTTAAGCAAAAAAAGGTGTACAGAATTAATTCATGCATGTATCCTATATGAATTTCATAATCATGATTAGGTCTAAGTGATACTGCTGAGTGGAGTCAGTATTTGACAGTTCTCGTACTGTGAGGTGATCAGTGGGAGCCATTTTGACGAGGAAGAGAAAGTTCTCTATTTGATTTAGTCATCTTTATCCCTTAAGGGGGGGGGGGGGGGCTGCAACAGGCAGAATTAAAGGGAATCCCTGACATAAAAACCTCCGACAGCCCCCCCTCTGAGCAGTGGGGGCGGGACAGCTGTGGCTGGATGTTGGAGGCGGTGTTACATGGACGCTGTGCCTGGTTGGAGGGCTTCACACCACGGAGCCCTTGGAGGTGGAGAGGTGGATGGAGTGGATGCGGGTGGCCAGGGTCTTCTCCAGGTCCAGCAGGATGTCGGAGCAGATGCCGGGGCTGGAGGCGGGGCTCTCGGGGGCAGGGGGCTCGTACAGCAGCTGCTTGAAGCCGTCCAGCTCAACGAGCAGCACCATGTTCTTCAGGAAGTAGCCCTCGATGAAAGCCGTCAGCTCCGTGGCACCGAGGAACTGTGGTGTAAGAGATGAGGGGTTTTTACTATTCTGAAGGGTGATAAGAACATCAATATGAGACTTTTTATATGATGGAAGTATCTTTCAAATGATCAAACATTGTGTTTGTATTCCTGGTTAAAATCAATGCAGTGTTGAGGGCTGTTGGCTTTTTCTAATGTGCTCTGTAATTTTGGCAAAGCTCCCTGGGAAACAAGACTTTTAAGAACATGCTACAATGGCTATGATCAGCAGGAGAGACACTCTATTTGTTGTTGTTTTTGACAGGCTAAATGCCAACTAAAATGGGTTAAAACAGTATATTATGAATTTTGGAAATAGGAAGGCCTACACCTGTCGTTTAAAAAAAAAAAAAAATCAATTTAGCTTTTTGGACTTAACAATGCACTTGAGTCATTGGACATGTTGTTTTGATTGGTAGCCATGACTAGAATATAATTCTACTGAACAAACGAAACAAACAAATCAAAATGGTGGTCTTTAAAATCCAAATAATGAGTGAAAAGATGCTAAATGCTCTGTGAAAATGGGTGATAATTATCTAAAGATTCACACATACAAATAAATTGCTCCCTTGATAATATAAAAATGAGCAATAGAGAATCTTTAAGAGACGGTTTGATTTGTGTGAAAGGTTATTATTATTAATTTAAACTGCTTATTAACAATCTGTCTCACCTTGGCGTGCTTGTAGAGGTCCACACAGGTTTCCGTGGTGATGTTCTTGGAGCAGATGATCTCACAGTGTCTCTGAAGGGCCTCGAGTTGGAAGAATTTGGCTGCAGAGAGGAGCTGCAGGGAACAGTAGAGCCACACAGAATGAGGCACAGGACTCGGGATTAGAAAAGCTAATACTGTCTCTCTGCAGGCTGCGAGCGAGTCCCTCTTACCTCCATCACTTCAGTGTTGCGTATGTGCAAAGACTCAGTGCCTCCACAGTACAGATACTGCATGACCAGCTGAAATACAGAGGACAGGGCTCAGTCAAGCATTAGACATTAAATCCATTAATCAATCCACAAACAAATAATCACTAGGCAACACTTTTGACAAGTGAGTATCTTTAAAACAAGCTAAAATGTTAGAAAATGCAGTTTCTAACCCCTCAAATATGGAGATTTCCTGCTTTTCTCTATTTCATATAATAATAAACTGAATATCTTTGTCTTTTGGACTGACAAAAAGTGCATTTTAAGACATTACCTTTGATATAAGGAACTGGGATGGACTTTTTCTTATATTTTCTGACATTCTATGGACCAAATAATTAACATATTAATCACTAACACGATTTGCATCCCTAACCTATGGCAGAATGTTGATTGTTACAGTTTTAATTGGGTCTTTCTATCCTGGAAGACTTTATTTGCAGCCCTTACTTACTGCATTTTATAACGAAACCACAACGTACCTACATTGTTTTTAGATGATAACACATTTCTTACATGGAAAATATTGTACTTGACGTGGCTGATCTCGATGCAGGTGTTCTCTGCTGCTGGTCGGTTCTGGAGCAGCGACTTGAACCTGGATGAAACAGAAGAAATAAGTAGTACAGCTGTGTAAGGAAACAAATACAAATAATAAGTTATATCGTCCTTACCTGGCTGAAGCTGTAAACAGCAACACTTTATGTGCATAAAATGGTTTCCCCTCCACCAGGAAAGTTACATCAGACATGTCCTTGTTGTTGAGGAAGTGGGGGTCTGAGGGAGACGACAAAAAGATCCAATAAAAACACCAAAGATGTCTCATTGCTCAAGCCTGCTAAACTACGGAGGCAGAACAGCAAACAACAGAAGATTAAGCTAATGTGGTCATTAGTTCTTTCAAGGGTGATTCATCACTCAGCTATCAGGGCAGCTTTATCAAATACAACAATTCCCATTTCATTAGCATTCTAAAAGGCCGGCGGATTAATTTAAATCCGCTCCTCTGAGCCACTTCTTTAATTGTAACCTTGAACATCTTGATAAATTAATTAGTTGTCAAAGGCATGATTCTCTGAGTAACAAACGTTAGGTTATTGTAAATGATCTTAATACTGATCATTCAAACACTAGGTGGTGGTGCTGCTACATGTCACTTCTCATGCTCTAATTATGTGAAATTAAAAACAAAATCAAATGTGGAAATGTCTATGACCTTCCTGACTTTAAAGGAGCTTTCAACACCTGATCAGACTGATACATCAAGTCATTACGAACATGCAAATACCTGCTGAAACATGATTTTCATTAACGTTAAATAGGATTTTATAAATGTGTGAGGTCTCCAGACAGCCTGCAATTCCATACAAAAAGGCTAACATTACTGACTCCAGCAGGCAAAAGAAAGAGTGAGATTTTGTAATACCTTGCAGAGGTTTTTATTATGCAACCAAAGTGAATGGGTTTTAAAACTTGGTACAAGGAGACCGTGAAAAAAAAATCTTATTTTAAAGTGATTCATCAAATGCCAAGAAGAAATTGATGCATTTGTTAAACACAGGTAAAAATAACTATGTGATCTGTGTTACATAATGCGTTTGAATCATTAGTCTGTGACATTTTGATCAGTATATATTTGACATTTTGAAGAGATGCATTACAAAAGCAACTCAAATTAAAATCAGCTCCAAAAGCTGGAAAACAAAATCACAGAGGAAAATTGGAACCCATCTCCTAGCAAGTGATTAACAAGTGATCTCTGACCTTTTCAAGAGACATTTTCTTCCCGGAATAACAAGAATCTCTCAGGTTGCCACTTTACCTCTAACCCTGCTGTCAGGCCGTCAGCTTCATCAAAACAGGAGAAGCCGTCAAGGAACAGAAACTATTTTTAACTCGCTCTCTTACCTAACCGTGAGGTTTGCTTCCTCTTGAGCTCTGTCAGCTTTGGGATGGGGAAGGGTCCGTAGCACTGGGTGAAGATGACTGACAGATGCTGGCTTATCACCTCGTTCTGCAAACACGAGTGAGGACAGAAACTATACTGGTTACAGTTTTCCATGAGCATATGTAAAAATATGTTAATGTAGTTTGGAGTGCAACTAAATATATGCTAATATGAGAGTTAACGGTCTCCTATCATGCAAAATGCACTTTTCGATGTCTTTTATACATAAATATGTGTCCCCCGGTGTGTCAGGGAACTCACAAAGTGTCAGAGAACAAAACCCTTTCTCTTATACCTTATACACAAATCTCTAAAAACGGGGGTACAACGGAGCTGATCCAGATTTGCTGCCGATTTGACATATCGGAAATGTGGACTGGCTTTACACCCACGGCCCTATCAGAAACGTTGCTATCAGAAACAATGCCCGACGTGTTTTGGAAGTAATATGGTCTTTGTTTAAATAATCCTTAAAGTGGTTTTGAACATGATATGGCGTTTAATCACGGCAGCATTTAGCTGCATCTGTTTTGTTTTTTAAAGCTTTAGACCCAGAATCAGCACTGCTCTAACAGGGCTGAAATAGAGGGGTATGAGGGATGTCTAAAATGCACGATCTGTTTGGTATTTTGAGCAAAACACACCATAGACATGTTTTTTATATATATTTTTATATATCTGAGACCCATAATATATGCCTAAAAATAGCATGATAGGAAACCTTTAATGTCACTGTAGCACATGAACGCAGGACAGTTTGTATTCCCAGTCTTATGAGTCTGATGTTTTCTGTAACAATTTGTTGACATGCACATGAAAGAAAGCCACGGTCACCTTGCTGGTCCGGAGGATCTGGAACATGAGCGGCAGGCCGAGTGTGATCAGCTCCTCGGTGTACTCGTCCTCCTGGATGCAGCTGAAGTCTTTGAGCAGGCCCTGGATCAGCGGCCGGCGGTGCTGCATGAAGCAGGTACGCAGGGACTCCAGCCAGGTGTGCAGCGTCCAGGGAACACCTGGGAACACCAACGCAGCGACAGTGAACACACAGCAGAGCAGAGCGGAGCGTTTCAGGGGAGGCACCGACCATGTTTCCATCAGTGAACTGAGGGGCGATCGCATGGTAATTAGTGGGAAATCAGAGGCTCCAGCGGCAATGCTAAACACCACTTGTGTAATTAAGGAGTGTAAAAAGAATGGCTACAGTATGATGAGTAAATGTGTATGTGAGATTAACATAAATAATGGCATGACAGAAGAGGCTTTGTGTTTAATATCTGCTGAAATTAGCAGATTAATGCAGTAGAAAGCTATTTTTGTTAGCGAGTTATCATTTATCGAGCTGATTCCAGCTTCTCAAATTTGACTATTTTTTTTATTTTTAACGTTTTATATATAAATAGTTTTGTTATCTCTGGATGATAGGATTTTGGTCAGAGTAAACAAGCAATTTCAAGATGTCACCTTAGGTTTTGGGAAATTGTGATGTTTTTTCTATTACAGTTTTTCGATTAAAGTTCATTCTTGAGCTTGGAAACAGTAGTTGACAAAACAATCTCACCACAAGGTCCATTTAGAAGCTACAGCCAGAAGATGGTTAGCTTAGCTTCGCACAAAGACAGGAAACAGTTAAGATTTGAAAACACTTCAATACATAAAGCGGCAGACTTGCACACAGAAGGCGGACACACACGTACACTTATATACAAAAAACTGTTTGCATACAAAGACATGTGCTACACACTAGAAATGATGATGGGGAGCTCCTGACAGCAAGAACAGGAGTTCCTTTGTTGGTTGTTTTTGGCTGCACAACATGAACATGTCAAAACAGAAAACAGTGTGGGACTGCTTTAGGAAAATAGGAGAATATAGTACAAGAGCTCAGTTTACTTTTCTGCTCAAGGACCTACACAGGGGTCTATAAAGACAGTCTTGGGTATGTCATAAACTTTTATGAATTCACCTGCGCCTGTTTCTATACAAATGCAACAAATTCAGCTTACCAGGATCTCCAAGAAACTATTTGTATCTCCATTCTTATCGAGTATTTCTTAAAGGTCCCATGTCATGCTTTTCTGGTTATTACCCGTCCCCTTGTGTGTTATGAAGGTTTTTATGCATGTAAACGGTCTGCAAAGTCACAAACCCTCAAAGTACACCCTGTAGCGAGTAAAACTCTAACACAGAAAAGACCTGTCTATGCTGCCCCAGAACGCCTCGTTGGAGATTTCTCTTTTTCTTCCTGGGTACAGTGACGTATTTAGGTATAGTGACGTAACGTAACGTAACGGCTCCAAATGGACCAATCCGCAGACTTCCTCACACACACACACACTCAATATTTTCTCAGCTGCAGCTCCGCGGATTTCTCAGCCTGGGCGGGACGCGGCGAGGCTGTGAGTCTGTGTGTGCTCGGGTTGGTTTCGGGCTGGGTTTCGCTGTGTCTCGCTGTCTCGCAGACGGCCACTGGGCTCACAGGGAGGGGGGGGCAGGAGCTCCAACAAGCCGTTTAGGACAGAGAGTGAATACACATACTATACAGAGATTCTGTATGAGAAACCAATGTGAGTTTGGAAAATTGCACAATATAAATCTATTTTAGTATACCTCAACAATGGAATTATGATCAGTAGAAATGGCCATGACATGGGACCTTTAACTAAATGTTTACATTTATAGCTGGCAAGTCATTTGTCTTTCAAAGCGTCATGCACAAGATTCCACCTGGGAGAACTAGATACTACAAACATAACAAACAGCAGTGTAACAATAAACAAATTGATACACCTACATGAAGTCAAACAAAGTCCAACACGATCCAACTTCTTTGGAAACAACAGAGCTCTGAGGCAATGCGCTTTTAACACATCAAACAATAAGCGACCTGCTACGCTGATAGTAGGCATTTGTAACACTTTCTGTAAAAAGGCGGCACTGAAGTCTACCTTCAATACAAACAACTAATGGAGACATTCAGAAGACAACTCAAGATAAAGCCTGACTCTAAGATTGTGCTATAATGGACAATAGAACAACAAGTGCACATGAATTTAAAAACCTCTCCCAGATCTCACAAGTGTAACATTTCTATAATTTCAGGAAAATTGTTGAAACTCTATCAGCTGAAAAATTATCCAACCAAAAGGTCAAGATAAGCAACTAAAAGGTTCTTATGAAGAGACTGTTTTGTCAACTCAGATAAGCTAGTCATTAATCCTAATCAGCCTCATCAGTGAAAATGAAGTGGAAAATGTTGGGGTGAAATCTGATTGCCACATGTATAAAATGAGCTTGAGGACACTTGGGTAAATAATCATTTTTACACCTTTAATCCAAGCTATAGAGTGGTGCAGGAATGAGTCCTAAAACTCAGGAATGAGTCAGCATTTTGCCACTTCTGGTTCACAAATGTAATGTTTTTGGTTAGATGCCTGAAATACGGTCTGAGGTAAACACACGCTTAAAACATGTTCAGCCCACTATGTGTCTGAAGCTATTATGTGACATAAAAACAGTGGTTGCTAACAAGTAGCTTAAGGAAACTACTTAACGTCATCATGCATCACGATCATTAGCCGCCTTTAGCTGAGCGGTGGTGACGTGAAGTCATTTGTCCATGATGTAGTTAGTTTATAGCCTTACCGTAGCTTCTTCTACTTGTAAGACTACACTTAAAAAATCAAAAAGGTGTTGTTAAAATGCGGAGGTTATTTTGCTGAACGAATTGTCTAAGTTTCATAAAGATGTGTTTGCCACAGATCTTATTTACTGCTATATTCTGAAACCAAATTGAAAAATCCCACCGCTTTTTGTCGAGGGAGACGTTAATTTACGGGTCAGCCAAGAAAAATACATCATCACTGAACCACTCTATTATCACCTTGGATATAAAAAGCCAGGCCCTGTGACTGTTTGATGGTTGGATGAGTATTGGTGAGTGCTGAGCGCATGAGCACACCACCAGGACAGCTGGAGGCACAGGACAGCCATGCATGTGTGCCAGTGAAGCATGTATTAGTAAATCTGACCTAAGCTGCGGATGTCTATGGTGATGTCCACATGGCCGTGCTCTGCGCTATGGTACATGGCCTCTCTCAGGGCCCTCAGTCTGGCCTTTCCTGTTCGCAGCGTCCCTCCTCCGTTGGCCTGCGGCGGCAACCTCTTCTCCCCGGGCTCCGAACTCTCGGCCAGGATCTCCTCCAGGGACAGCACGTCGCCCTTTTCCTGCTCCGACTGGGACAGGAGCTTTCGAAATACATTCCTAGACGAAAAAGAGGAGAAAAATTGAACCCAGACAGAGATTATTTCAGTTTTACGGTCAGGTTAAGAGATAAAAAAAGAATCGAGTTGTAGGAGGGGGTCGGAAAACAAGCACAGCCTGGGGTCAAATATGCTTAGAGAAGTTGTGAAGAGGATGATCACAGAGCGGAAAATGTTTCTAAATTAGGCTTACACGTACTGTGTTAACTCCACATTAAGCACATCCAGCTCTCCAGCGCTGATGACACTCAAAATATTATATTAAAATTAAGCAAGATGGTGCACTCTGTTCTTCAGTCACAATATGTTCTCAGCAAATTCATAAGTATCTTTTTATAATTTTAAGAGCAGCGGTACTTTAACAGAGCAAAATATGTTGAAACCAGAGGTAAGACAAAAATAAGCAATTTCTTATTATCATTACTTAATTAATTAAATGTTAAAATTCTTTAGATTGTGGATTGGGAATGACATACAGTAGCTATTATAACGTTTTTTGATAATTCTCTTATTTCTTTCTCTTTTGAGAAATCAGTATTGTAAGGAATCTTAATTCAACAAACACAGAGTATAAAAAAAACAAAATATATAGAGCTGAAATCAAAGATCTCCTATGTAAAAAGAAAATACAAAACTGTGGAAATGTCGCAAATGCACACTTGTTTTAGTCTGCAGATTCATTAGAGCTGTTTCTGCAACAGAATGATGTTCCTCATAATGTATACGGTGTGATTGAAGCCAGAGGATGCATCACCGCACCATCTGCTTTAGTTAGGGGGGGGAGGGCAAAGATCAGCACGACATCATATCTTGTTCTTGAGATTGTTAGATCACACTGATGACAAGTTGGTGGGAGGCTCACTGCCGTCACTTTGAAGCTGTTCATAAAATGTTGTTGATGTCCCTGGAGTTCAAGCATACTGCAGCGGTATCTTCTCTGGTTTAGAGCATCGTTCGACATTACATGGGCAAAAATATGAAGACACCAAACACCTCTAAAACTAATTGGGATCGAGCTCAAATCTTTAAAAAGCAGCCATACCGAATACAATTTTGTGCAATGTCCTTATATTTTTATGTCATGCAGGCTAGGTCCACAACAGTTAAAGGAAATACACTTATATACATTAGAAGATCAGCAATTTAAGCTTTTTTAAATGTTAATTAATTATTAATGTATCTATTTAAACATTATAGTTTAATTTAGATAAAACTTCCTTTTTTAATTCCAGTTTATCGTACAGATTCATGTGAACTTTGGCCTTTGAATGTCAATATTCTAATCTAATTTAAGGTAAGACTAATCACATTTCTGAAGAAGTTTAAAGGGTAATTATATTTTTTAATCCTGACGGCTCATTTCCAATTCTTCTATTTCTTTTTGCCTTAAATAAAAACTTCATGTCATGTGATCACTTTTACACCCAACCATCTCAAACCAATTCTAATGAAGTTTGAATGCACTCACGACACATTGCTGCAGAATGATTGCCACACTGTAATTGACTGTCTTAATAATGCTGTATTGTGTTTTTGGGTACCCACTCCACTTCCTGACAGCTCTGACTGCTCTGAATGTTAGCAGGCTTTATCTCACTGTGCTGCGGGGTGAATGATGTCAAACTGACGCCATAAGTGCTGCTGAATGGACCGCAGCTCTTATCGTCGGCTGGAGTCTGACAGCGAGGGATCGGCCTCTCATAATCTGCACGACTTTGTGAGAGGCAGATGGACCAGAGCACAGTGTGTAAATGGATCAATACTGTGGTAATAGATACATCTCCGCTGACTGGCACTGTAAGTGTGTGTGTGTGTGTATGTTTTCCCGTATTACCTGTGGCCATGTGCTGCTGCCAGGCTGAATGAGTTCATGTCGCCCAGCGGGAGGGAGGAGATGCCGTTTCGACACATGGTCCCGATCATCGGGTCGGCCCCTCTCTCCAAAAGCAGACTCACCAGCTCAAAGTTACCTAACCAGGGCGAAACATGAATAAAGGTTGAATACACTAAAATACAGCATACATCTGATGTTTTACAACCATTTACGTTGATCAGTGATGTAACGGAACTATGTGCATTACCACATTGTATTATAGCTAGCCTATGAACATTTCTGACATATCTCTATCAAATAATTTCAATTTTTCACTACTTTATACTTTGACTCCACTGCATTTCATTTCATTTTAAAGCACAACGTTAAAATGCTCATTCATGTATTCATAACATTTTGCATAATGTGTAATCTTGACTTTTTAATATTCATGACAATGCTCATTTAAAAATCAACTGATATTCGCATTGCTTACTCAACATTTGATATCCTTGTTAAGTACATGAGAGAGTAAAAATTAAAACAGCAGAAGATGAGCCTGAACCTGATTACAATTATTCTGTGTTTCACTTATTGCTATTCATTATCTAAATGTGCACTGGAATTATGGTCTTTATTTCTTCTGCATTATTTATTATCTAATGAGCACGATGTTAATAGTGTTCATTATCTGAGGCTGTGTGTTTTGAATCAGTTGTTACTGTGGCAACGCGGCTGCCTACACTTTTTGTGAGGTCAAAATAAGATTCATTGTTGTATGTCAACTTGTTAAGTTTAATTAATGTTGAAAACACTTCAATTAGGTATAAATTATATAGGACAGCAGCAGTGCAGAAGGCTTTATTCTAAATATAGAGCCAATCATTGGGTAAATACAGTATGTGAAGTATTTAAAAAGGAACAGTTTCTTTCTGTCAGGTTGATTTGTGGCTACAGCTAGCAGCCTGTTAGCTTAGCTTAGCATCAAGACAGGAAACAGTTGAAAGCAGTCAGCCTGGTTCCGTCCAAAGGAAATAAATATGCTTCAAGCACCACTAAACTGAACTTTTTATTTAACTGTTAATACAAATTGGGAAATCATATTTTCAAAGTGTTAGAAGTGTTTATGTATTTCTTAGCTGGATTTTCCACTGGTTGCCTGGCTACCTCACCTTTGACAAGACTTCTTCAGTTTGTGCAAATTAATTAATTGTTCCTTTGTGAGTTTTTGTATGTCTATTTGTATTACATTTGAACAAACCAGGCTAGCTGTTTCCCTCAGTGTCCAGTCTTTATGCTAAGCTAAACGAACTAGCTGTTAGCTTTAGCATGATATTTAAAAGGATCTCTTCTAACTATCTGGAGAGACAGCAAATACACTCCCCCAGGTGTCAAACTTTTGTTCAAATGCACATTTGCTTCTGCTTTGACAGATACATCCAGTCAGATTAATAATAAATTTGACGGAATAGAAATATCTGTCGCAGGATCTTTCACAAGTGGCTGCACAGCAACACAACAATGAGGAGGAGCAGTTCAAATTCAGTGCATTCATGATTCTCAGATAGTAATTGAAAGTGATGAATTAATTAGATGACTAAGGCAGAGTGAGAAAGCCTTCTGGGGAGCTAAGATTTAAAGCATGTCATGACTAATCCTTTAAGCCAAGAACAAGAATACTTGGGTCATATATAAACGCCTGGAATCTAAAAATATAACATATTAGCTGCTTGTACCTGCAGCAGAGGCCAGCTGAAGCGGGGTCTCCGTGTAGTTCTCCGCCCCATCCTGCAGGGCGCCCTCCACATTCGCTCTGTTATCCAGCAGCAACTGTGGCAGGGAGGGGGGAAGGGGGAACAAACCAGGAGGGAGGGCAGGGAGGGAGAGACGGTATGTTACACTCATGTTGGCAAAACAGGAAAATCCTCAACTATGGGAAACCTAAACCAGCTCATTTAGAGATGAACTGTGGACACTAAACACTCTCCTACCCTCACTCCCTCATCAGCTTCTTATTGTTGGGGATGACATGCCTGAGCTGAGAGAGGAGCAACATGGTTTCTTGTTCTATCCAAAAAACTGTGTTGATTAATAATTGAAAAAAATCCTGAGGGTGACGCTGCTCATCAGGCTTTCAGCAAGTGTCAGCTCATATAATAATTTATGCAACACAGTGTATTATATATTCAAAGAAAAAAACTGAACACTGAAATCAGGCTGGCCTCTGGAGGTATAGTTGGACCAATACTGAGATCAGTTCTGGTGAAAAGCAGCGGGCTGGATGACTACACATGATAAAAGCATACATTAATACAAATATATATATATATATATATATAATAATTTGGAGAGTTTGCCTTTTCCTCTTTCACATAATTATTGCAGATATAGGATAAAGAATGGGAAATGGAAAGGATATATGGCATTGAATATTGTTATTAATATGATGCACCATAATTATAATCATCATTATATCTTGGTGCAGATTTCAGGGGTACAGGTTAAGGGTTACAGGTCAGAATTGTCACTACCTGCACAACAGGCACGTGTCCGTGTAACACGGCGAAAGTGAGAGGCGTCCCCTGGCGCGTTTCAGGATAAACTGAGGGGTGCTTGTTTACTGTGCTTGGCACCTGGGAAGTCATAGGTGAAGTTCAGGGAGAGAGATATACAGCCATTAACATTCACAGCTCAGGGTGGGAGATAGAGGGGGGAGGGGGAGCGAGAAGCAGTGTGCAGGAGGAGAAGTGTAAGCAAAGAAGGGCAGGGTGGCACAGGGAGAATTCCCCTTTTGAGTTTCACAGAAAAGTCTTGAGCTTCTACGTCTCTATCCTAACCCTTAAGTGAATATTTTCCTAGTTATAACTCGCTGACCACACTATCTGCCGAGCTCCATCTTTAAAAGTGTTTCATTTCAAAGGGGAATGAAACTGGAGAGAAAACACAACATTGGCAAAGACTGAAAACACTGTAGAGACGGGCGGTGCTGACTCATGAACAAAGCGGCATCGGAGTAAAACTAAACAGCTATTCAGCCCTGATGCTGTTCTGTGATTTCTAAAGTGCCTTTATCACAGAGTGAATTGCAGAAATGATTCCTAAATGTTGCCAGGAGGACGGCCTATTTTCAAAAGACGTTTAATGTAATGTCACATCTCATCAGAGCGCTGATGCTAAACAACAGTGGGACTGTTAGTGTTTTTTTTATTCACGCTGATGAATTATGAATTAGTTTATGATAAAACCGAGACTGCAAAATATCATGACTCTAGAGAAGTATTTCAACAAAAGGTTTTACATAGTGGAATGCTCAATCATTGTTATGCAACTTCATTTCATTCACTCAAGGGCTCAGTTCACCGAATTACAATCAGAAAGATGTTTCTCACTTGCCCTGCGGCGTATTGAGACATTTTGTTTTATATGTCAAGGTTTAAAGAATCCTGTCAACACCTTAATACAGTTGAGGTGATTGGTGATTTAAATGTATTACGCCAATTTACCTCAGTGACCTCGCACCTGATTTTTTTTTACCACCACCACTATTTTCTAAATCCCCACAAAACCTTATGAGAATAAAGTCTGTGGAAAATGTTGGTGTTGTGGTGGAGTTAAAAAAAATCATTTTAGGATTTTTAGCCCAAATTTTTGGGAAATGACTTCCTTTGGCACCAATCACAGGTTACAGCTATTTTGCTATAAACACCACATGAAGTATGTTTAGAAAATAACAATGCTCTTTACTATAACACATCTAGACATAGCAAACCTTTTCCAACGGCAATTGACTTTCAAAAATAATCTTTCACATGCTAAGCATCCTTGAAAAAAAGTGTTGATTGTAATTAAGTTAAACTGATTCTTAAAATATTTATTCCATGACATGGACTCCTACATTTCCACAGGTAGCGCTTTGCTTTAGAGTGAGCACATCTGCACTGAATACAGCCACTTAACAAATGGAGAAATCACAAGAAAACAAAAAGACGGAGACAGAATCAGGATGTATATTAACAAAGCCTCACTGTTACTTTGAATGCTCTGAGCTCAACACAAGTGTAATGAATGTCATGCTTCGTGTGGTAGCAGGTTACACTAAGTGCACACACTTGTACAACAGTAATGCATTATTGATGCGGTTCAAAGCTACTAAATGCTTACAGTGTAAAAAGTAATGAAGTAACTGGTACACTGAGGGACTATCAGTGGATTATAGAGTGGTGCAGTAAGGACCTGGAAGTTAACATCGCAAGGGCTCCGTTATGACAATGCAATGATATTTTTCCATTGCATTTCAGAATATTGCAGAAAATAAGCTTTGTGGCAAACACACATTTATTTATTATCCTTACACATATCGTTCAGCAGGATAATCTCCACATGTTAACACCAATTTATAGTTTTTTAAGAGTCAATGCATTCACTTGAAGTAAATTGCTAATGTTATAAAGGCTATAAACAAACTACATGACGGTCACATAACTTTACGTTGCGGCCCCTAAGCTAAAGGCGGCTAATGTTTGGCGTGATGTAGTCTCATTTAGTCACTTGTTAGCATCCGCTCTTTTTAATACACCTGTCGTGTATTGACTGACATTTTATGTTGTGTAAAGTAAACCTAAAAAAATGTCTTTAGCTTGTATTTACCACAGACCTGATTTCATGCATCTAACAAAAACACGTTCAAAAACTAGTTGACTTTGAGAATGGGAACCGGAAGTGGTAACATGCTGACTCATTTCTGGGTTTTTGGACTCATTCCTGCACCACTCTATTTTCACTCTATTCTTTATTGTTATCGGTGCACTTGGTGTAATAAGCTGCCAGGAGAAGGGCGAGCATGCCGACAGGAAGGGGGGGAAGACAGAGAGGGGGGAGAGAGAGAGCAACACAAAGTGGGTTCATCGTTTTCACACAACAAATGTAAATGAACATTTTGGACAAGAACAAAAAATGTGGAATTTATGTGACATTTTGAGGGTATCTGGTGAGCACTGACCTCACTGTTGATGTCGGCGCCAGCGTCCAGCAGCATCTGAACCATGGCCTCGTCACCACGGACACAGGCGTACATGAGGGGGGTCATCCCCTGTGGGAGAGAGGGGGGGATTCATTTATACAATGTACTTCTGTAGAGGAAGGGTGATGCTTTCAGATTGTTTGCAGCCAATCACAAACTGAATTTATTTAATTTCCAAATAGTAAACAAGCTTTATTGAGCCATTCTTTAAATCTAAGTTCTAAATCTAGCTAATTATTTTTAATGTACTCGGCTGCTGGAGTTGAGCATGTTGATTCATTATCACACTTAACAAACACACATGAGTCTTTGGTCTTGGACATGAAACATGTGGATTTCAGCATGAAGCCCTTTAGAGACTATTAGCAGATCTTTTAGCAGCGCACCGACAGCTGTGCTTGTTAGTTCTATAGGTAGCCAGGAAAAATCTCTCTTAATGTTCTCTATAGTTTTTAAAGAGAACTTTGAAGTGCCATATGTGCATGTTCACTGCTGGATACTAATCAGCCCCAAGACTAAAAATCACACTAAAATATGCCCGGTATTCATTCCTTACATCCAAATCCATGCCAATTACCTTGCAATATGTCAGAAATTATGTAGCAGTTGTTGGTGGATCTAATACATTTTAGAAGCTGCACTCCTAACATCATATTTTATATTTCTAAATTCCACCATATGCACACAACGCATTAAGATCTTTTTGATTTGTTACAGACATAGTGCAAACTACATGAGGAGATGCTTGTACAATTAAACTTGTTGTATCCTAGATACATTAATGCATGTCTATTCTGTACATTATTAGGACATGCTGTACAACCTCATCGGTAATAATGATTTTCTATCAAATACAAGCACAATTCAAAAACTGCCCTTCTCTTACCATCAATGCATTGACCACAATATTATCCTAACAATAACCCATTTATAATATGAATACAGTGAACTAAATAAGAGAATAGAACAATTATAATCAAATTAATAATAGACTAATTAATAAAGAGGTGTGACCAGAGTTCTGGTATTAATGGTGACCATCTTTAATCCTGCTGTAATAACTTTCTATAAAAGGCAGGTGGTGAGTTTTACCCATTTATCAGATGTACTGGTCTGAAACTAAACCTGTTTTAAAGTGGGCAAGCTTCCATTAAACAGCCTTCAATCATAAGCCAAATCTGGGCCATTATGTTCAACAAAGGCCTTTTACGACTCGCTCATAACACGGCGAAGCACTTTAAGACTGGTATCCCTTTGTGGTGATTCATTCTTAAATATTTCCTGGATGCCGATCCACTTAATCAGCAGACAGTTAAAGGGCGATATGTTCGGCGGACCCTGGTGATCATCGTGATGAGTTCAAATGCCTCTCAGCCGTGATGACAGAACACAGCGTTTACTTTATTGGCCATGTAATGCTGCCTGGCCCACTGCACCATTTATTGGTTTTTACAAGTGAATCAAAAGCATGTATGTCACCACAGTTTGTTATTTATTTAAGGAGTGAGGCAGAAAAGTGTCAAAACAACTTGTTAAACTCAAAAGGACATGTTAATACTGAAAACAGTGAAACTATCTGACTGAATGTGAAATGAATCAACCTGCCGAGAGACCAAAATGGAGGTAAGGGCCTCCGTCCACACATCCATTCTTTATATGGGTATCTGAGTAGAAAGAGCTTCTTAAATGAACTCAAACAAGCAATGGCTTTCTCACCACAGAAAATCAGATTGCACTATAAGCTTCCACTTAACAGCCCGAGGAATAACCAATATTTCCATTGACTGGGGAAGGTAGAAAATCCCAAATGCCATTAACACGTGAATGCAGTAAGACTGAATATCGACCCGAAGGTGGAATTAAACCCAGTCTGGGAAAAGTGTTGCAGTATCAGGCAGAGGTGGGGGACTCGAGTCACATGACTTGACTCGAGTCAGACTCGAGTCGCATATTTTTGGACTTGAGACTTGCTTGACTAACATTGATAAAAGACTTGACTTGACTTTGACTTGGTATTCATGACTTGAGACTTGACTTGACTTGAGACAGATGACTCGAAAGGACTTTACTTTTTAAAATTAAATATTTGCATTTGTTTTTGTATTGTACGGAGCCCCTAAAGGGCAATGAAAAAAAAAAAAGATACTGTATCTCCTTCGCACGAGCAAGTTACCGGAGCACCAAGTAGGAAGTGAAGCGCACAGGAGACAACTGTTTCATTGCAGACTGTTATGTTTATGTTGGGAAATGGCAGTCCATACATTATTTTAGATATATTTCGAACTCGGACTCTCATTCACTTCATGAAATCGCTACAGCACCAGGAGGCAGCGGGACGCGTAACTCCGCCTCTGAGAAGTGCAGCACCAACGCGCAAAGAGCTGTGCCTTTTACGCAACGCCTTCACTGTGTTTACTTTCATTAAAACAGCTAAAGAGCGACCGCAGGCTGCTACGTGTTAACCACACACACCACACACACCTCTACACAAATCGACCTGCCCGATTAATCCCCCTATTACTCGTTTTATGAAGGAGATGTCCGGTCACTAAGGCGCATGATGTGTTTGTGCTCTGCTCAGCTCTGCTCTGTGTGTGTGTTTGGTGTGTTTGTGTGTGTCCGTCAACGGCATTTGTTTTCAAATTACCATGAACAGTAATTTACACACATCTGGCCAACTCCATATGTGGGTGTTCCCAAATGAAAGAAATTAGTTTAATCTTAATGTCGCACTGTCTGCACACACACACACATATCATGCGCCCGGTACATACACTATTCCGTTGTATTGGCTTTGATGCAATATTTCTTTAGCACAGACACAGTTAGGAAAACAAAGAGACAGTGTCATATGGGAGCACCTTAGACAGACCATGGAGAAATGCTGTGACCCTGCTGAAGGGGAGCCAGGGCAGGAGGCTTAACATGTTGATGTAAAATATTTGTGTTGTACTCCTGTTATCACTTTAGAGCCCTTTTAGAACTTATAGGGTTATCATTTCAGCGCCCCACTCTCCATTGCTGTTTATGTTGAAAATAAAACTAAACTTTTCATAACCACAATATTTTAACTGATTTAAATGCGGAAACTGGGGTTATTCATCAGAATTTCGTATGACTTGACTTGAGACTTGCTTGACCTGAGCAATGACTTGACTTGCTTGACTCTCACCACAGTGACTTGGGACTTGCTTGAGACTTGTAGGTTAAGACTTGAGACTTGCTCATGACTTGCACATGTAGGACTTACTCCCACCTCTGGTATCAGGTACACATGGACCATTAGAGCAGGCCTTTCCTCTCCATTTTTTGGATAAACAGTCAGGATTTAACAACAACTACAAGTCTTTGTGTGTTTGTGAAAAACCTCTGTATTTCATGTTTGATTCATACCGCAAGCTGTTAGTAATCGTGAAAGACTATTTTACGATTAATCCATTAATCTTGTGTCATTTTAAATGCAAAACTGTCAAATGATGATTACTTGCAGAATTTTAATTGTGAGCATTTGCTGCTTTTATGTGGTGATAAACAAACTATCTTTGGGTTTTTAATGATGGAGCAAATCCAAATCAACATTTCGCATTAGGGCATTATGCCTTAGCAAGATTTTCACTTTCAAAATGTGCCCTTCTCATTATGTATTTATGTTGTTTCTTTAATGGACATTAGAAATGCTGACATTTAAATGTTGGGTTTAGTTCATAGTTAGGATATTAAGCAGGTTTCATCTTCACCGAGTAATGACGAATTATGACTTTAGCAAATATTCAGATGTTGTATTTGTGTGTTGTATGATGCCATACACCTTTAGAACATTGCATGAGCCAAGCATCTGTTTGCACTGGGATGGACGGCCAGGTAATACTTAAAAATCCATTTGGTTTATATCTCCGCTCCTCTGCTGTGTAGGTGTGTGATGTTAATGATGTAGCTCTGTGTAGTTAAGTGTTCCCGACCTGTTCGCTCATGCTGTTGATGCCATCCGGACCCAGCAGGTTCACGGCCTGCTTCACCAGGTCTGTCCGTCCGCAGTTGAGCATCCTGAAGCCCAGGTCCTGCAGGAACTTGGCCTCTGTGGAGGCGGCGTCCAGCTTCCTGGTGGCACAGAAACAATCCTCCGCTCTGCAGAGGAAGAAATGACTGTGAGTGACTGGGAACACTTGTAGCTAAACCTCATCTTTTTAAGTTTAAACACTTTTTGCACAGCAGTAGTTTTCCGTGCAATCAATATATCATTTAATAAACTTAATATGCTTTTATCTTTGGTGATTTAGGTATATTTTGATGCAAATACTTTCATACTTTTGCTAAGTACTTGCTTTTTAATGCAGGACTTTTACTTGTAACAGAGTTCTTCTACACTGTGGTAGTAAAATATGTATGTACTTCTTCCAGCCCTGGCCAGACTCTGTTAGAAAAACATGAGAAATTGTGTTTAAGTCAACTGATGCTTTAAACAGTTATTATTCCCATTGGAATTCTACTTTTACAAAGGCAAGGCTTAGCTTTAAAGCAGACACACTTGCACCGAATACAGGCACTAAACAAATGGAGAAATTACAACAATCTACAAAAAGGTCACTATGGTGAAGAGACAGAAACAGGACTTATAATAATAAATGCACTGGGATGTTCGAGTATAATTCAAGTATTGAGCTCTTTGCACATTTTCTTATATCTATCTACTTCCCTTCATTCCTAAAGTAGCTTTTCTCCAGGTAAGGCTTTTGCTATGACTCATTATTACTCATTCCTGTCTCCCGTAAAGCCTCTTAATCCGAGCTGTGAGCAGCTGTCACTGCTGATGTTGCCACTGGGTCACAGAGGAGCCGTTTCATCATGTTTGTCAAATGTTACGAGACAATTATACCTGACATATGTAAAGTGATGTTAATTGGCAATTCACACCTCTAACCGTTTCATTTATTATTTCTTGGTGAGTATTTGACATTTGACTCTTAACCCACTGACACAGAAACAACGTCACCGACAAACATTGTGCAAGGCTTTGTGACTGCTGGGCCGTGTGAAGGAGAAAAGGAGGAGAGACAAACATGCAGAGAGAAGATTTATCCCAGAGTCACGATCTGCCTTGTTTGTCCTTCCTGCTCCCAGAGCTTACAGCCAATCAGCTCCCTGCCTGCTCTATTGCCTAGGTTTTAGTCAAACTCAAAGTCAAAGTCAACTTTATTGTCAATCTTTCAGTTTGTGTGTACAGACAGAGAGATCGAAATACCGTTTTCCACAATCCCGAATATAACAAAGATATATACAAATATGTATACAAATATGTATATACCTATATATATATATATATACACAATCTACAGACACATTTATACATATTTAGACATAAATAAAAGCACAACAATCAATATATACAAAATAACAGTCACTTCAATAACTTTGAGAAATGTGCATTAGTCCAAGACTGTCCATAGCAGCGTAAAAAGTGTCTGGTGCTGGATTTGAGTGTCTGTGTGTGTGGTGTTAAAGTCCAGCTCCAGACAGCATAATATTCTTACTTTATTTGTCTGGGTTCACAGTCAACTCCGGGCAGCAGCAGCCTGGCGGCCTGCCTCACATCGTCGCTGTCCACAGAGAAGCTTCTTCGATGCTCCGTGTGAGCGACCGCCACCCGGATCCACTCCATCAGGGGAGGCAGCACCAGGAACGGCCTGAGGGGGAAACACAAGTTTGTTCAAATGTGCAAATCTTACATACATTCTTTGCTTATGCATCCCAGATAAGCCTTTTATGCATCTGATGGAAAATGAGAAATAAAACTGGATTTAACGATACAAAAAAATTACTTTAAACTATTGAGATAAAGGGATTTATCTGTTACTTACTATAATACCACATGAATACACTTTTTCCTATCAAAGGTGGAACAGGTTGGGTTTTTTTTTTCACGTAGGAGATTTCAGCTTTTCAGCTCTTTTAAGCTTTTCACAGCTCTATTGGTCAGGATTTAGTAACTTTCTTCTGATGAAGGAGAATGACCGACACTTAGAGTGTCAAGGTCAACTGAAGCTTTTGAAATAGCTTTAAAAAATATTGTGAATCACTGTAACTATGAGAGGTTTTCGAGCATACAGTCATAAATATGCACATAAAAGCTATGACTAAAACTGTACAAAAACACAGAATCATAGAGGTCAGGTCACATTAGTAGAATGATTAACCTGAATTTAGTATATCAAAATGAATAAATACCACTTAATCTTTAAAACACACTGCTGCTATGTTCACCTTAAAAATGAAATCACCTGACAGAGACCGATAGCACACACACTTTCTAATGAATGATGCCCTTACAGATAACTGAAAAGGCAGCCAAACCAAATCAATATTCATAATTAATAACTCACCACGTCCAGAAGAGAAAGAGATATGGATGCTGCAACCGCCCTCAACCTCGTTATTACCTTCTTTAATCAAAATCAGTAATGGGTCTTGCCTGGCTGACATGTCCATATTTCATAATTTACTTCCAGAATGTGTGTGTGTCGCAAATCACCTCATCTTTTTCTCTCTTTATTTGTTCTGTCTGATATTCATCTTTTCCCCCGACAGAGCAACAGCAGCGACATTCAGGTCAGTCATTCATCAGACATTTAACGGCAGTTCATCACTATTAATCAGTTAGCTTAGCATTATGAAATAGCCATCCTTATCAAAAGGTAGACAAAATCCACCCCCACAATCTATGAGAAAATACGTTTTCTTTAACAAAACAAAGACAACAAACTGTTTTACTGGACTCGATGGAGTTCATAGATCTGAGTTATTGAAGTCCATCTGCTGGCAGTGTACCTTCAGTCAATCCTTTACATCTGTATAAGTGAAGTGATGACAAAAGGAACGTCCTTGGTATATATGGCTTATAAAGGCCTTTGGAAGTCCCTATTATTAAAGCAGGTTGTATATAGATAAAAAAAACCTTTCACTAGCTTGACGTTGTTCCTTTTTGTACTTAACCATTATTACTCTGACCCTATGAACTCAACTATTCAGGATACATTTAGAAGCACATGCACTTACAGTAGTTTACAGGGAACATTCATTAGAGTGCAGCTGTATGCCAGGGCAGGTTTGCCTTCACTTACTGTACGGGGGCTCAGTCATTGGTACATGTTCATATATATAAAGCCATGTTGGGTAAACTCCCATCTTATATCTGCTCTCTGATTACACAGAGAGTTGCAGGTAGCTATTGCCTGAGATCACACGATGTGGTCTTGTTACATGTGCTAAGTGCAAGGACTGACTTAGGTACGAAAGCTTTTATGTGCGCAGCTCCTCTTGCTTGGAACAGTCTTCAAAAAGAATTGAAACTGAGCAATTTGGTTCCACTGCATGTTTTTAAAGCTCCGATAGGTGAAATGCTCTTTGATACTGTTGGTACTTGTAAATGTCGATAGGTATGTAAATGTAGCCCTGTAAATATATGATGTCCTTTATTGTTTTATGTTTCATGTGTAACCTACTTGCTGCAGGTCTCCCTTAAATGAATGATCTCAATGGGACCTACCTGGTTAAATAAAGGTTTGAAATTAAATTAAGAGCAACTCTGACTCACCAGATCTCAGTTTAGATGTAATAAGACTAATGTTCCTTTAGGGCTTTTAAAACCACGAAGCAGATGCAAATTAGGAAACCTTACAAACCTTAAATTAAATTGTCCAATTTCATGTTCACAGTCAGTTCAATTATATTAGGAACCCATCAGTAAAGGTCCCTGTAGAGAGTTATTCCTTCACGACCCTTTGGCAACTACAATTTCTAACATTTCTTGAACAGAAGCACACACCCAACTGAGAGAAACCATTTGGGATTGTTGTGTTTACTGTGCATGCAGCTGCCTGGTCCTTCTGTGGTTTACTGTGAGCACATGTTTAATCAAGGCAGCAGCTTTTATATATTGACACACTGTGTTTGACTTTTGTGTGAATCAGATTCCACCACCAAAGCTATCCTCGTCTCTACACCTACAGTCTGCCAGGAAATGTGAACTCTGGCAAGGGTTTTAAAAAAAGAAAAGGTCTCTGCTGGTGTTTAGCAGTTGGCTGACTAATGTGCAGACCTCCTCCCTTTGCTCAGAGCTTATGCTTTAACTGATGTTTGCCTCCTCAAAAAGACATATCTGGCTGTTGAAAAAGAGGGAGGCACAGGCTGTAATGAAAAGAGTGAGGGGAATTTCATCCAATGATTCAGACGGCAGGCCTGCAGCGACAACCAACACCCAGAGCTGCCAGTGCAGAAATCCCTCCAAGCAAACGTCTGGGCCAAAATACAGATTATATCACTACCTTAAATCTCCTGCAGCTCAATTGCTGTTTAAAATTCATCTACTGTAGATTCTTCACCTTTCTTACAATGTAAAACAATTGGAGTAATACAAATATTTTTAGCAATTTATCTCCCCTACAAAGGCATATTTCAAGCTTCATGTCTTTATGAGAATCCCCATTAGTACTAGCATGAGCACTGGCATTTTCTTGGATATTTCATCAAGGGTGGAAGTGAAAAACATCCTCCCACCTTTCAAGCATCATGAAGCCAAAGGGAAATTAACCATCAAACAATTTCCTGAAGGATGAATAACACATTTCCACTATAAATAAATAGTAATACATGACAAACATACATCTAGGCCTTGTCTGAAATGACCTTAAATGTTATACTATTCTATCTAGTGCTTTCAGTGGTCTAAATTCCAAGAAAATATGGTATTAAAAAGAGAATAACAAACCCTAACTCACATAATCATATTCCCCCTCACTCTTATTCCACTTTTTACTCGGCTTCAACCTTTCAGCAGAATGCTAAATAGAGTTTTCTCTCTGGGGACCGAGAGCCTGCTGACATGTCACTCCGCCTGACATTCCCACTGCTCCCCAGGGTCGTCAGGAAGGAGTTTTTATCTCCTCGGATTGATGGAAAAATCTGTCCATCCGTCCATCCCAGTGAAGTCCCGTTGGTTCCCATCAATCTGATCGGGAAGTGTCACCAGCCCACACAGCATCTTATACAGTCTAAATATCTGTACTAACCTTTTAGTCCAGTTGAAATGAATCAAGCTCAGGAGCGGCTCTCACTGACAGATGCAATATGGTTGAAAGGATATATGTGTTTACCTATCAAGACAGAGAGCTTTTACAGTGTGTAGAGTGTGCCAGAAATGTTGGTGATGGATGTTTCGGGAGATTGGATTTCAACTTACACACACATTTCTCACAGATAGAAATCATCTTACTGCTTGATTTATAACCTGATGAGAGGAGGTGAAGCATAATATATCATATTGTACAAGTTAGCTAATTGACACAATGTAATGGATCAATATGGCTCTTTTTTTTGGCTCTTTGGGAAACTTTGGTGTATGCTGTGGCTTGTCCCATTTTAAACGCCTCACAAAAATCACAGCCAACATGGGTAAATGTTTTAGAAGAGTTCAAATGATCCTTGAGGGGACTTTTACTAAACCTTGTAGTTGTTTTGTCTGAACAATACCAAGTAGTCTTGATGCATTTTATTTGTCTTACGAGGTTTAACATCAACCACATATATGAAAGACTTGAATGATTTTGCAGTTGAGTTACATGAAAATATAATTTTGTAGGCAACAAAGAATGGAAAATGATGTTTATCTCAACAAATTAAACAGCCACTTCAGTGTCAACATTGGTAGCCAGACCTACTGTACATGGCGTTGTGTGTTATATATATATTGATCAGAAGAAGTTTCCTCTGGTAGCATGTCCAAAAACAATCCAACACCACATTATTGACGTGTTTACTTGGACTTAGATATGGCTTCTTGGTCCACTGCAAACAAGTTTATATTAGCAGGTTTTCTGGCAATCTGTTCCTGGTTTTAGACCAAACCAAAACTTGTGGTTTCTGTTGGACTCACCTCTCGGTCTGTAAGGAGACTTTGGAGGGCTCCACGTTGGGGTTCTCCCACTCCATCTGTGGGCAGTGCATGAAGTAACACAGGGTGTAGAGGGCCTCGGGCTCCCAGTGCACCGTGGTGTTGGGGGTCTTCTGGTGGACCGGGGTCCCGTTGCTGGAGTTCTTGATGTGCAGGGGCTGCAGGTGGTGCATGGCCCGGGATACCAGATCACCTAGAAGATATGTTCATACATGAGAATGAATACATTCCAGAAATAGAAACTCATTAAAGATGACGTGGAGCACACCGAGGGAAGATCCAGTCATTATAAGGTTTTTCCTACGCATTGCCTTCAGAGCACAAATTCATTTTCTCCACCACTCCTTTGTCATGAGAGTTCTCGTGGCACTTATGTGATGGAGTAGAGACTCACTCCTTCATTTGCACACCCTCTTAATCATACACATATACCCACACGGGCCTTACTGAGTGGGGTATTGCTGCCTGGAAATGAACTCTTACACACATCATGCTTCTCTCTCTTATGAGTAAATTACTAAGGAGGATGAGCTCTTATTCTGTCCGCTTTAGTTCTTATCTTTCTCCCACTTCCCTTGTATGATCACTAAGAGAGTCATAGGGAAACTACTATACATGAGTCAGTGTGCATGTGTGGGTGCAAAATCTCAAATGAATGTGGAAAGGATTTTTTTAAACTTGTGAACTTCCTGTCATGAGAAATGTGATAGTAGGCTAGGATAGGAAAAACACACATAGAATATTTTTTGAAAATGAGACAAAGCAAAGTTAGCCGTGCCCCCCTGTTTATAGGCCTTGAGCTGAGCTAAGCTAAGCTAACACCTAATGTAATAAATACATTGATATGGCCAATGATTTGCAAAATAGTGGTATTATCCTTCAAATGTGGACTCAGGTTTGCTTAAATGTTGAGATAAAACAGAATGCATTGTCTTACAAGAAAAAACAAATGTGTATTTTAGGAGACATAACTCAACATTTTTATTCTGTGCATTTTACAGTTTATTCATGATGGAGAACATTAATTCCCAAGATCTTGAGAGCTCAAACAAAATAGTAAGTTGAAACCTGAGCCAATGCATTCTGTTTTATCATAATCATTATATATATTTATTCAAGAACTATTCCTGATATAGTCTATAATAACTTTGGTCTATTACTTGTAGAGTATGAACTTATTTCCAGCCGCAGCAGGAGCAGCGAACAAATGAAAGCCATTTTCTTTATTTTTTGACAATAGTTTGGAACCCCAGAGGGGGTTTGAAATTCAAAGTGTGAAAACCTGTGAACCACAGCGGCAGATACTCAGCACTGACATATAGAGAGTCATTATTCTCTGCTCTAGGATTTTATCGATGAGTTCATTAGTGATGCATTTAAGAATAACGATAAAGCTCTGGAAGGGGAAAATACTGCAGTGAGAACCTGCAGTGTCGATTTCTCAACAAAAAACCGAATATCCCCATTGATCTGTTTATTTACTTAGATGTTTGAGGCTTACATGAGAACAAGACTCTGCATTCAGATAGAAAACATCACCGTCCTGTGAGTTTATGCATTCTCTTACTGCATGCACGACTAATAAGTGAATGAACAACATGTGTAAAAGTGTGAAGCTCTGAGCTGCAGCACACCCTCTCTGATCCTGTTTGATTGTTTGTTCCAAAAATACCCACGCTGCTGAAAGTCGGCCTGTCTTAAAACCTCGTTGCTGCGACAGAATGACACAGTGACAGTGTGCTTAGAGATTCTCCATCTGTCCGACTAAAGGCCCCTGACAGAGTTCACAGGCAGACATTTGTAAACACAGTGCCATGCTCACAGCTAAGGCTTCAGGCAGCCACGTAGTTATCTAGGAAATTCATCAAAAAACAATTGAAAACAAGGGAAATCATGCCCTGTTTCTATGATTCAAGATGTGTGGCGGGATAAGACTTCCATCTTCAGGTATGACTTTGGACAAAAATGATTTGGTCATTTTCTGCCCAAGTGCTTTTTGTAATTTGCCATTAAAGTTTTCCCCATTTACTGTTTTGTCTGAGCACTTCTGATTGGTTTGAAAACTTCTGTGCACTGAACAGAGTTTGGCAGCATTTTATACAATATCTGATGAAGGTTGGAGGGTTTTTGTTGTGATCAAACCACATCCAAACTGTCCTGATAACGCAGATCAGGGGGAATTGTGACTGGTAAATACTAGAGTTTTACATTTATAGCTTAAAGGGTAAAACTCTAGTATTTACCACTTTTGAAACAGGAAGTGAAATAGAGGGATATGAGGCATGGCTAGAATGGGTGATCGGTTTGGTATTTTGAGCAAAACACTTCATAGACATGTTTTTTATATATTTTTATATATCTGAGACCTATGCTATTGCCTAAAAATAGCATGATAGGTGCACTTTAAACATTTGATCCTGTAGAGATAAAAAGGTTTTAAATGACAAACTGATTAAGATTTTCCTATAATTTAATTAGGAATATTCCTCAACCTTAACCCTGAACCCATCAGAGGAAAAATGACACTTTGCAACTATGATCTTTTATGTTTTTTGAAAGGGAATGACAAATGATGCCAGATCAGAAACCACTTACTAATCATAAGACAAACAAAAATGCCAGGACTGCTCCAATAACACAATGTAAGACAGTATTGAATGTTTCCATTTATCGTGATTTAAAATCCTTTGGGCTTTAAACTGCTGACTAAACATAAGAGGCAACTAAATAAGTCCTCCTGGGCTTTGGAACGAATTATAGCAAATGTTTCACAATCTTGTAACAAAAAAAATCAATAGATAACTCATTAACTGCAACAATTGTTACCTACAGCTCCCCGGAAACCACAGGAATAAATGTGACATGGTTCCTCGCAGCTTGCAGATTGTTTGCTGGGCATGTTTGGTACTCAGCAGCACTTCTGAGGAAACATCAACCAAGCGGATTAATTCAGCAAAGAAAACCTCTCCACTCCAGGTACTCAGAAAGTCCCCATGCTCCTCAGTGTGAGTTTACGCAGTGTGCTACCGGCCTGACTATTAAGGAGATTAAACAAAGAGGGCTGAGATATGCATTTCATTTACAAAACCTCCTGCTCAGTGGGAAACTAAAAATGCTAACCACCAAACAGAAAGCAGAGGAACACCAAGTCTGTCAACGCTCCCTTGAGGTTTAAAAAAGAAGGAAACAAAACTCTAAAACCAAACCACGTCAATAAACAAAAGGCATTTATTTTTTTAACCACAAAAAGCAAATGTTTAAACCGCTACTGTCCCTCTGAGCCAGCGCATGGGCCGATAAACAAGCTTTCTCTTCATCATTAATTGTGACTTTGGTTTTGTCAGGACAACATTTGTTCTGTTCTCCTTTGCTGTAAATATTCAAGAAACACTCCTAGGGATCATGCTTCATCTAATTTGCTCGATCACAGGGGAGAGAATAGTTTCTTTCTTTACTCCTTGCCAAGTCCTCTCCTCTTGGAAGGACTCATTAAAAGGACAAAAATGTTCTTTGTTCCCGAGACAAAAATGTGTGACATGACAGAGCAGAAAGTCCCTGCTACCTTATAATGTCAACACTGTGAATTCTGTCATAGAGAAGCTATGTAATTAACTTGTCTTTCTCTGCTGCATTACAAGCAATAGATAGGAATTCATGTACAACAAGATAAAAGTCAAAACTCTTTTCACTACTTTCTCAACAGTCAAAATTGTGACTATCAATAAGGCTTTACAGTATTACTTGAGATAAATGCTAATGCTAACATTGAAACATGCTAATAGGGGGAATTTTAACATGCCGATACTGGGAAAGGTTTAATTGTCGCCATGTTCATACGCTTAGTAGAGCATGTTAGCATGCCAACAAGCATGAGTGGCGTAGAAATAATTACCTAATGGCTTTTTAGCACTTTCAGGTTCCCTTGTCTTGAAGTCAATGTTTTTTAGAATGATGTTTGGGTTAGATGCCTGAAATAATGTCTGTGGTTTATAAAAGCTTACAAGATTCAAATGTTTTGTTCTGTGCCATAAAATACATCAATAAACATGACATTTGTGAATGTCTTAGACTTTTTCGTGTCCTAAAAATGGCCGTTGCTAACAAGCTAACATCATCACACCGGACCTTAGCTGCCTTGGTGACGTGAAGTCATGTGAGCGTGATGTAGTTTATTTATAGCCTAGTGTTTTTACTTGAGGCAATTGCATTTATGCTTCAACTATTAGCTTATCCTGCTAAGCAAAACATTTCAGTATCAAACATTTGTTTGCCAAAGAAACGGGAGACCACTTGCGATGCTAACATCTGGGTCGGCTCAAAATAATACGTCATCACTATTGTCACCAAAGTCATTACGACTCACCCTTATTTATTTTGGTTTAATAGTAGTCAGCAAGCAGGCCTGTAATTCGAGCAGACAAAGTGCAATGAGCTAAATGTGAGCGGAATCAGATGTGACCTGAGATTATCCCGGTGAGACAACTGTTGTGGCCCTTAAATGAGGACTGAGATGGAAGATTCCTCAGCTGTCCTCTGACACACTGTCACGGCCCACAGCTCTCCGCGGGCCGCAGCGAGGACATTTAATCATCACTCGCTAATACGACTCAGCCTTTGGGGCACATTAGCAATTCCATGGCAACTATTAATCACAGTCAATTACAGAACACGTCATCATGCATTATACCGATGGTAGGTTGGGTCCTCTCTGCATCCCAACATCCTTCATTCCTATATTTTCACATGTTTTGTCTTGACAAATATTGTGATTATTGCAATTTGGATTTTGCTCTTGTCCATATTGCGATTACCAGCCCTATTTGCAGTCCTAACAACTTTTAAGACTATATTTTATTGTTCTCATCTTGGTGTTTTTTTAATCTAGAGTAATTTACAGTAACCTGACAACGATGCATTGAAAGGCTGAGCGACCATCTGGAGTTTTTGGTGTTTACCTGCGTCAACAAGCTTAACAGGAATAAAAGAAAAGGGTAAAGATATAACTGAACATGTTCTTTCCAGAGTTTTCTACAGGCTCCATAGAGGGAGGAGAGGGAGGGTTGGTCACGAGCGAGGGTTTTTATACACTGAACTCTGTAAGGTGACACACTGTTCTGAGTAAATCCAAGCAATATGGAAAAGCAGCAGGACACCATCTGCAAAGGTGGGGATAACACATATGAAGAGCCAGGC